AAGATCTCATGTCATGAATAGATTTTCACCGATCATTTTCAATTATCGTTTTAAAGTAAACAAATTATTCAGCCACTTAAGCAACAACTGACTTCCAGTTGCTGATTATAAGACTAGATCAGCTAACGCAACATAAAGAAATTAATCTTTACGCATGCATTAGGCGATAGTATTCCATAGAAGAAATATTACGAGTACTTAAGTCAGTGTTTTCTAAGATTACATGATCATTATTTCAGCAAAGGTCGAATGACTCGTTCTATGATCGTTACTTGTGATTTTATTATATTTTATTCGTTGTAGAACATAAAAAAATGAACAAAAAAGAAATTTCTTTTGTTTTTAATATAAGTGGATTAATATATCTATACATGTGAGGATATTTACTCACTTGTGCTGAAGTCAGATCTCTAGCTCTAGTTTTTTCATTAATATTTTAACATCATACTGTTATCATAACCTCGTAGAAAAATATCTTTTAAACTGTGAATGTTTTCATACGTCAGAATCCATAGCGACATTTCCGTGCATGAAAAGATCATAATAAAGATCTTCGATTCATCGATGTCTAGCACTAATCAAGAAAAAAACGTCAAGTTGTTCTTATTCATTTATATGTAAGTCTAGCTAGATCCATAAAACATCTTTTGTGTGGCAATGAGGATGGCACTCGAGAATCAAAGTTAGCTCAATGAGAACACACCTTTAATGAAGGCAAAAAATGGCGCTTGTACAACATTTTTCGTATAGTTCAGTTTTGCATATTGATACAAACTACTTCAATTCAAAAAATAAGAAAGCAGCTATTATACATTAGATTGTAGAGCGAAGATTATTCTAGAAAATATCTAATTCGTTTCTCTTTTTAGATATTGCTACAAACGATCGAAATCTATTACATTCTAAATACCGAAATTCGAAGGAAGTGATTCTTTTTTAAACATGTCGTCACGTGTATATAGAGTTTGATTCTTTTTGAGTTCTAGCTTACTGTAATCAGTAGAAAATAAAATTCTGTGTAACACTAGAAAATCAAAACTATTCTAAAATCTCGTTCAGAGAAGTTATGAATCATAGAAGAAAGTCTATTTCATTTAGTTCAAACAATATTTTTGATTTATTTTAATATTTGCTCATAGCTAACCAATCGCAATTCAATAACAAATTCTGAGCATACATTTAGAAAGAACATTACATTCTGATCCTAACTAACTTCTTTTGAGCATCATTTCACGACATCTTGATATCTGAAAAATGAGCAAATATTCATGGATGACAATTATTTTTGCATTAAAATTTTTAACCTAAAAAGGACTGTCTAATCAATTCTGTAGAACTTTCTCACAAAATACACGATTAATTCTTGATATTTTTAAATAAACCTACAGTTCAATCTATGGTCGTTGTTTACCCAAACGATGAGTTCATTTGTTCGAATATTGGAGTTTCCAGATGTTTCTGAATCCTACGCCTTATCAACATGATAGTCACAGCTATGCAATTCCAGTTTCATTCACTGAATTACTACTGCAATCTAGTCTTAAAAGTACATCAAATGATTTTTCTTTACATCAATAGTCACAGTAAAGTGACTACAGTGTTAGAGAGCATTGGTCAATTCGAATGATATTATTTGCGTGAATAGCTACATAATAAACCGTTAGTTTACCTAGAAAGTTCGTCTTTTCCGAAGTTATACAATTCAAAGGCGATATAGATGTCATCCAACATAATTCCCTTTGTACTTAAGCAATCGAAACAGAATCGTATTTCTGAGTTACACTCTTGACGAAGTATATGCAGACAAATATTCAGTCCTTCAGCATCAATAATGTTTGAGATTCTCTATGACAGAGATTTTTGTCTACTATTGTATCTATAATGTTTAAAAGTTATTATAGGAGAATGAAAAATTTTTATAATTCAAATAGTTTTAATATAATTAATTGAATACAATAATTTAACATTACTTTTATTTTTCTTTCGAGTTTACATTTTGATTGATAAATATAATATATTCAAAACAATTTGAGAATGTTTTTAAATACTTCTACTAAAGAATGATTTAGAAGTTTTTATCAAACAACTTTGTCTTCAAAATGAAATGAGAATTGTAACTCATTTAAGCATCATTTTCTAGAAATATATATTTCAATATCAATAGAAAGATCTGTTTTCTTTAGAGGAAATGTAATCGAGCTTTTCTATGAATAATTATATATTTTCCAAATATTAGAAATATGATAATTAATATTGAATTCTATTAGTTTTGAATCATTACAAGTTTATTAAAACTGAAATTATGTTAAATATTCGCCTTGTATATTAATCCATGCTTGTTTAAAAACATGACGATCAATATATAGATTATCTTTGTATAGTCACATTTTATCATTACCAATCATAACTACGTAGTTCATGTCTCGATGACATCATAATAACATATCATGCTTTCTACTGTTTTCTTTCTCTGTTGCGTTTGCAATCTTCATTTACATATACATCATATTGCCATCATCAAGTTTTCACATATAATGTCCGTGTATTTGTCAATATTGGTAATATTTTTTCATTTTTTTCCAGTATTCAAATTATACAAAAAAAAACACATAAACCACGGTAGTTATATGTTTCGTCCTTTCTTCTCTTTTTCTCTATCTTTCTCTTGTCTGACTTCTTTTTTTACAAGCTGTTCACCTTTACTAGCGCTAGTATCACTACTATTGGGACATGGTTGAGTGATCTCGCATTGATTTATATGTATGTATATTTAGGAATTGCCTTCGGAATTCGATTTATGTATGTTTATATTGAAACATTCTCGTCATCTTTTTTTTGTCATGTTTTTGGAGGTCTTTGGTATTTCATTCTCTCTACCTTTTTCTTTTTCCTTACTCTTATATGCACTGTCTGTCTATTTGATAGGACATGCACTTAATTTTTTTTTTTTGTATGAAAGATATATAACTATAAAATGTTTTCTTTTCTTTTTCCCGCTGATTCATAAAGAAACAACAAGATGGAAATAGAGAAGAAAAGAAAATATGCATGCTAAATTGTGCTTACGAAAGAAATATTGCATACCATGCTAACAGGCAATAAGTGCCAATGATATAAATTAGAATAAAGAATTCTAAGATTTTTTCTTTTTCTTATTCTAGTTTAAGTCGTCCTTGCTTAAACCTTTCGTGTGTACACTATTATCATGCTTCCCAAATCCCCACGAGTTTATGGTACCAGTCCAGATGCAAGGTAAGTTTATATTTAATAGTAAATAATAAAAAAGAAAAGAAAAGAATTCTTCTATTTAGGGCCAGAGCTAGATTCATTCCTAGAGCACCACCATCCGGTGGTGTTGGTATCAGACTAGGTTCGGATGCCTCAGCTGGTGGTCTTGGCGGTTTAATCGGTGGTATAGGTGCACCGTTACTTTGTCTTGGATGTCTATCAACATTAGCCCTTCTTGGACTTTTTGGCACCATGATAGGCGCTGCAGCCTATATGAGTATGTGAATGTTGTTTTATTACAGATTAATTCTTGTTTCTTTTGATTTAGACGGAATTCAAAGTCAAATTCGTAAAACTGCTCAAGGTGCTGGAACGACAATTGAACTTAATGTTGTAGTTCTTTTATGTGCACTTCTCTGTTCGATTTATGTGCTGACAAAATATCGGCGAGGTGGTGCTCTTAATTATTGAATAGTGAACATACGCATCTATTCAAACATTAATATACACATTTGAAATAGAAAAACAAAAACACATATCTTTGACTTCTTTTCTTTTTTGCAATACAACCATATATTTTCTACTTATGGTTGGATGACTATTTCTTTTTTTTGTTGCATATTTTATAATTTACGCACAAGAAAAAAAAATTTCTGAACAGGTATAATATGTTTTCATATCATCAACAATTATTAGTCATCGTCATCAATGTTTTCTTTCTTTTTTCATATGCTAAGACACAAGAAAAGCTGCTTAATTTGTTGCTAGTATAAGAAAAAACAAATATATACACATGCTTGTATTACGTTTTTTTTTGTCATGTTTACCTTTTTTTTTTTTGTGTTTTTATGAATTATAAAAAAGAAAAAAAACAATACATGTATATTTTAAAGAAAGATTTATTGGTAGATTTCGTTTTGATTTATTTAATCAAATTTATTCTATTAAATTATATATTAGCGACATGATAGTTCCTGTATGTCTTTTTTTTTAATTCTCATTCATACAACCTTTTCATTTGAACTTGTCTAAACATCAACGATCATTAGAAGTTAATTTTGTTATCAAGGTTGATTTTCATTTGCTTGCTTAGACATTCTTCAAGTAGAAATCTGTATGTCTTTTACATACACATGCGTCTGCTCTAGTGTGTTACGCATCATCAAGTTTTTTTTTTGCATCTTTTTTCGTTTTTACATATATAAATTGGCATACTCATCGTTAAATACGTAGGCTAGTGTGCATAACTTGACTCTTTCTCTTCTTTCTTTCTTTGTTTTCTTTTTCCATCCATATAGGTAGAAATGATGTTTCGTCTATACTATTATAAGTCATGAATATTGAAGAAATAGTATTTCCTCGTGTGTTTCACGCCCATGTGCTATCCCCGATTATCACGAAGGAAAAAATGCGGTCAACCATGACGTCAATGTGTATAGATGGTCTCCTTCGGACTGAAGAGAGAGAGAGATAGAATGTAGAGCAATGCGTAGTGGTGTATTTTTTTCAAATAATAAAAAACGTTGAATCTTATTTGCTTCTAGTGTATGTAAAGGAAAACAGAGAGAGAGAAAGAATATGTATAGAAGAATTTAGTAGTGGTTGTTTATTGTTTTTTTTTTTTTTTAGAAAAAAAAGAACAGAAAACGTCTTTGTCTTTTTTTTCGTATTGATCAATAACAATAGATTTTTTTCATCGATATAGTGTAGATCGTTATCTACCATAGAGTGAGAATATGTATCGTTCACGGTGAGTTTGGAAAAGGTTTTTTTTACATGAATCATATTATAAACTATTTATCTGAAGATCACGAGCTCCACCACCACGTCCGGTACGATCATCACCACCAGCTGATGGAGCAGGCCCCATTTCTGGATTATTAGGTGGCGTAGGTGGTGCTGTCACCTGTCTCTGCTGTCTTTCAGCACTTGGTTTACTTGGTCTATGGATAACTTTTATTCCATTTGTTGCTTTCTTCAGTAAGTATATATATATATATATATATATATATATATATATTGATACTTTCAATAAAATATTTTCTTTTTCTTTTATTAGAATATGCATATGATCAAGAAACAAGAGCTTATGGTGGTAGTTCAAGCATTAATAATCTTCAACAAATCGTTTTTCTTCTTGTAATCTGTGTATTAACAATTTGTTTTGTCAAACGACAAATTTCTACATAAAACTTTCAATAAAATATAGAGACTCATTTTCGAATATCAATCTACTGTCATTGTCGTCGTTATTGTTATAATCAATTTATTTTATTGAACATGAACATGTACATGCGTACGAAATAAATACAAAGAAACAGAGACGATTCATCATCATATCGTTAATTATTATTATTCTCAACACCACATTTCCTCGGTGTTTTTCTTTTTATTTATCTGTCTTTCTACAACTTGCTTTTTTGTCTTTTTATTTTCAAAAGAAGAAAATCTTTTTTTTTTCCTGTTGAACAAAATATGTGTCCTTACATATTGATTTCTCTATTTATTTTATCAAGATTTTCAACCGTGAAAGGATATTAAAACAAAGAATTATTGTATAAACTACTGAATAATTAAAAATTAAATTTGTTCTTCTTAGTTCAAATGAAAGAAAACTTGTTTGCAATTGATAATCCGACAAGTTCAGCTCTAGTTTTATTCGTCTCAATGGATCGAATTGCAATGTATCGACGTTTAAGTTAAAAAAATAAAGGAAAGAATTCTCAATAAGTGTTTATACATATACATTATACTTTATGTTTGTTATTTTACTAAAAAAACCCCTATGCAAATAAGTAAGCATATCTATCAATCTTTAATTCTTCATGAATGAGTTAAATAACATTTAAATAGATGCAAGAAAAAAGAAAACAACAGTTGATGTATACAAAACTTCTAGAAAAGAGTGTCAAACAGTAAAGAATCAAAATATTTCGCATTATTTTTGCTTTCTATTAACATAAAGAATGTCTCGAAAGTTCGTGCAGAAAGTTTATGTAAGTAACACTTAAATAGTTCAAGCAATTTATATATTCTTTTATTAATATCATAGTAATATATTTATTGACGTATTCTTTTATATATTTTCGAATAAATGTCTGTGCTTATAAACATTAGAATATAAAATAGTTTTGTTCCAGACAAAAATTTAAGTCATCTGTCGTTGTGAAAAGAAAATATAAGTCGAATTTGATCTACAGACGCCAGACATAGGTTGTACTAGGAATACTTTTACGAAATTAGTATAATATTAAATAAACAACAATCTGAAAGACTTCTAATTTGCCACATTCTACGAATAGTAGCAGACCAAATTATAACTTAATATTTACCAATGAAACCATACACGATACAATTTGTCTACTAATTTCATGAAGAAAGTTCACAAGATCGATTTTTATACTCTCCAATTTTGATACCAATGTTAGAAAATATCAACAATCAGAAGAATTTTTTTTTTTTTCTTTGAATGAATTTTACTTTCATTTAGATGGCTTATCGGTAAATATAAAATGAAAACTTATGTATATAACATATAAAAAAAACATTTGTTTAAATTCACAATAAACACTAATAATAGAAATGAATTAATTGGTAAATAAACATTCTGCAGGTTTTTTTTCAAAGATTCCAAAAAGAATGGATTTATGTATTTCGAAATTATGATAATCATTTTGAATATTTTTTGTTTTGTGAAACAAATTGTATGAAATAAAACTTCAAAGAATATACTATCATATTTTCAAAAAACAAAAACAATTAAATCGCTTAAAATGTATAAGAAATATTTATGTGAACTATTCGCACGAACTTTTGGACACCCTCTATAAATGTACTTTTCATATAGTACATCGATGAATGGTGTGAAATAAATAAATAAATGTGATAAGTATAGCAACAAATTATTGGTAATGTTTCTAAATATATAATTTGAAGAACAATTTAATACAATTACAATCTACTATTCAAAATGTACTTTATCACAATATTCAATTTTCCTATAAGGGATAATAAAATTAAAAAAATGTTTGAATGTATTCTTCATTATCCATTGATGACTTTTATAGAGAAAAAAATTGTTCTTATGAATAAGTCTCAATAAATTAAATTTCATAATTATTTACTTTGATTTTTTTTTTCTACTTCACCTTCATGAGAAGAATTTTTATTTCTATAAAAGATGATAGAGAATTTAAACAACTATATACATTATAGCTATCATCATAAAAAAATTTATATTAGAAAAAAGACACATTACAATTTTTAAAAGATACTATCAATTTAAATATTTGTATAGTTTACTTACAAGAAGAGATCGTATTTTCTCATTTGTTATTATTATTTAATATAATCAGCACAAATATTTGCAAGTCTTTTAAGAGAAAATGTTCAGAATAAATAAAAGAGAAAATTTTCATAATTAGAAGTATATGTCAATGCATTGGTTTATGACAACAGCAATTGAAAGTTTTCAAAAACTTTATTTGTTTTGAGAAATTGTGAAATAACAAAAAAAGAGAGAGAGAAAATAATAGTAGAGAACATATTGACAAGAAAATCCTTGAAAATTAATTCTAAATGATCCAAATTTTCAAAAAATCTAGTACTTGTTTTTATGTAGCGACTAGAACGGTTGAAATTTCCAGTAGCTATTTACACCAATAGAACAGCGACTGAAATATCTTTAAAATTTTGCGGTAGCAATGACGCAATCGATCGATCGATACATCTACGCATAATTTACTACATAATATGTTAAATATCAATAAAAAGAGTATATTTAATGATAATGGATATATTAGAAATATTTTTCTCTTCGTCACCTAGATAATATCAGATATCAAAATTAATGAATTTACCTTTTTGACAGATGTATTTCAAGGTTGTACAAGGGCAAAAAAAAACATGACTATAGTGTTAAACATATATTTCAATTTCTCGATGACAGATGACTCGCAGCTGTTCGATTTCAATTTCATTTTTTAGCTTTTAGTATGATGTACGCAAATTTTTAATTAAAAGACTGATATCATATGACAAGTATTAGAAAAATATTCAGTCAAATAAAAAAATAATTTCTCAAAAACATTAAATTTGAAGTATATTATGGTACTATGCACCTGTTCAAATTTAGTTATTTTCTAATATTAGTCCTTATATGACGATACACAAATATCTGTTATATAGATTAATGTTTTTCTTTTATAACAATAAAGTAGAAAAAAAGAGTGAAAATATATCGTAATACAATTAAAATTATCATCAATCATGCATAAATTGTGTAATTTAATTTGAAAGAAATATGCAGTATCTTATTTAAAAAATGTTTTCGCAAGTACTTTCTAAAACTTTTAACATTCATTATTAATCTGTAACATATATATCGGTCAAAAAAATCATTTTGATATTTTAAACATGATTGATAATTATTCATAATTTCTTAGACGCAGTAGAGTACATTAAATAAACATTTGTCGAAGTGACACTGTTTTTTAATTTCATCTCTCGTGTTCTTCTAACCAGCATTATATGACAACTTCTAAAATAAGAACAAAAAATGACCTTGAGAAAAAAAGAAAAAATTTTATTTAAGTTTTTTCTTTCAAATGATCAATGCTTCGTTTATTTTCAGAGCAATAATATCAAAACTTGCAATGAATAAGCTATCATTGTATATTTATATGGTAAATATTTACTTAAGATAAAGAAAAAGAATTAACTTTCAGATTTTTACCGAAGAAAAAGAAAAAAGCATGTTCTCTTTTTTATTGATATAGTATTATAAGAGTAAGTTGTTTTAAAATTTATCAGAAAACAAAAAATGTCAAAAATCACGTTCAAATTTTTTTCATATTATATTCCGATCTATATACATAGAAACAGAAATATTCATCTTGTGAAAGAATTTTAAAAAAAGAAGAAGACTTTGTTTGTCAATTGGTGACATCTGTCAAAATTTAATAAAGAAAAATAAAATTCTAATAAAGTGAATTACATATAAAAATTTAAATATTGTATATTTTATTAAATGATTTTTATGCATAAATAGAAAAAAAATGAATCGAATACTAATATTACTGATACATGAAATAAAATATATACCTTCTTTAGCAAATACATGATATTCGAGGTGACATCGAATAACTGTCTCATATTGTTTGTTGTTTTTTTTTCTTCTCTTCTGCCCTTTCGATCAATCAAATGATCTGCATGAATATGCGCAACTCAATGAACCATAAAAATGAAAACGATTAAAAAACAAAATCTAAATATATGTTCATAATGTTTGTTTACGATTTTCGATCGATATAATTCAAAAAAAAAAAAGGATAAAATAAAAATTCTGTTTCTATATTTTCAATTTTGTAGATGTCTTCCTCACGAGAATCAACGAATAATTCGAATAATAACAATTCAAATTATCAAAATCGATTATCAAATTACAACAATGATGAACATCTGTATGATAATTCATACAAATTTATTTCTTTAAATATTTGTTCATTTTATATTTTAGAAATCCACAAAGATCAGGTCATATATTTAACAACAGAGGACAATCGTATGCTATAAAATCGATTTAATACATATGAATTTCTATTTTTTTTTTCTTTTATTTTTGAATTATTAATTAGTTATGAAAATGATTTATTTCAACAAATGTATCCTTTTCAAAATGCTGCTGATGAAGATTTACCAAATGAAATTGTTGCTGAATTAGATACAAGAAATCGTATACGATCAAATTTTAATGATGAAGAGACTTCGGTTTTTTCTGATGTTGTACAAGATGCTTTTAAAAAATATCAAAATGAGGTATATATCAAAAAAAACAAAAACATAGATAATTTTATATATATTTTCGTTATATTTATTGAATAGTCAAATTGTTGAACTCATAATGATACGGTATTATTATGAAAATGTATAACAAAAATAAAAAAAGAAAGACGAAGTTCAAGAAGGAGAATTTTATTTTTAGATGTATAATAATAGGTTCTCCAACGAAGACTTATTCATTTAATAATGAAGTATCTGCTTTCTTTCTTTTTTTTTTTCGACTATTTTAAATGCTTAAAATCTAACTAATAATTTAATAATCTGAATTCCTTATTGTTCGTAAGATTTTTTGTTTTAAATTTTACTGTTTTGTTTTTTCAGCAAGATGAATTATATGCTCAAATGGAAGAATGTTGGAATTATATGGCTACAGAAAATAAATCTTCTGATACACCAAAAACTTCAGTAATTTAAATAAATTCATATTTGAGAAGATTATTTCCATTAAATTCTTCTAGATAGAACAACCTCAACAAAGTCAACTAAATCCGGATGCAGTTGAATTTAAACCATCATGGTTAAAATCTTCATCAACTACAACAACAAATGAAGGATCTTGTGTTATCTTGACATCTAGTCAACCTGAAGAATCACAAAAAAAAGTTTAAATTTTTGTTTGCACTTCTTAAAAAAAAAAATCTACCATGTATATTTACTAAAGAAATTCATCTTTGTGACATCGTCTTTATTTTTTGTTCTATATATGTTTTTTTCTACTCTTCATACATCTATGAAAGGAATGGAAAAAAAGAATGTTTGTCGACATCCGCACCTTGGCATAACTGCTTGCATGTTAGTGATTTTTATCGTAAAAGAAAAAAAAAAGGAAAAAAAAAAGAAATTTTTTTTTTTTTTTTTAATGTCGACTAAAACTACTGACCTTCAGAAGAATTATGTGTAGATGTTTTTTTATCGTTACTTGTTCTTCCTTTCTTATTTCAGATGATGTTACAATAGATTCGACGAAACTTTTCTCTTTTTTTTTTTGAATGTCGTTTACCATTGAAAAATGACTATTTTGTCATTTGAATTTATCCTTTCTTTTGCTTTTAACTGCGATGTTTTACTTCACATTTGAAATATAATAATATTTTTTGTATTTATTATTATTATTAGTTTTTCTTTATTTACAATAGATTCATTTTGTTTCATTGTAAGAAAAAAAAAAACAACGAATGGCAACTGTTCGGTCTCGCAAATCACATTCTTCCTGTACACATATATGCAGTAAATGTCGTTCACGTGATACAGAAAATATATCTCTTGATGCAAGTCATTCATCTATACCTATGACTGATGGAAATCCAACTAGAACTTCATATGAAAATACACCATCACCATCATCAAATGCATCAACAAGTACAATTGAACAATCATCTAAATCTGGTCATCGAATATTATCATCAACTCTAAAAAGTAAAAAGTTTTTTTTTTTAGAAAAATCAAAATTATTTATTGTTTTTTTTTTTCTTTTTAAAAAAATACAAGATGATCTTTCTAATATGTCTAATAAACGTCGTTCTCGTTGTGATAAACTTTTTCATTATACACAAATGATTAATCGACAATATATGATAACAATGACAAAAATTTTATTTCAAATGCAAAAAGAAGTTTATAAATTAAAACGACGTACACATCGTGTTGAACAATTAGTTATTAAACAAGCAAAACATGTTCAACCAATTATTCGTATTCCTCGTTTAACAAAAGGTTCCTAAAAAAAAAAAAAAAACTTTTTTTCTTTTTCATAAACAATTTTTCGTTTATTATTTAGCTCAACTTTCAACAATTTGTATTAACAATAATAATAATGAAGACATTCTACAAGATACTGTAGCAATATCTGATGATAATAATAATAATATTAAAATTATTGAAAATACAAAATCGAATACAACAAAAAGTATAAAACGTTTGAGTATGTAATTATTTAATTCTTCTTCTCCGTCTTTTTTTCTTCATTATTATTTTCTTTTTTTTTTGTTAGAATATAAACATAAACATACAAAGAATTCATTAATTCTATCAAAAAAATCTCGACCAACTATTTGGATAAATAATCGACAAAAACCTATTCATCCAAATAAATATTGTTCATTTTGTCGATATGAATTTTCTAAACGATCAAATTTCTTAATGCATGTTAGAAATATTCATAAAGGAATCTTACCACCAATAATAAATGAACAAGATCAATCATTATTAGAAATGAATGAAGAAAATATTGAAAAAAATTTTAATGGACCAATAGATAATTCTTCATGTGAAACAATAAATGATCAAACAGGTAAATATGTTATTATTAGAAAATTTATTTTTATGTTTAAATAGTTGTTATTTTTGATGATAAAATAGAATCATCACCAGTTATTGATGATCAATGGGATATTAGTGAAAGTAGATTACGCCCACGATCAGGTGCTAAAACAATTCATGAACCTTCAATACATGCTAAAGTTAAATGTGATATTTGTAATAAGTTTTATCGTGCAAATTATATGAAAGTAAGTAATATTATAAATTTTAGAAATCAGTAATTTGTATTCATAAGAAAAAATTTCGAAGATTCTCTTTTATCAAGGCGAATATAATAAGGATTTTATTTAAAATCAAAGAGTACATGTTGGTTTCCTTGTTTTTTTCTTATCTTAAACAAAATATAAAACTTTTATCAATATGAGTGCTTCTCTTTTTTTTTCTTTCTCTCATATTCATTTAATAATGAAAAAAGTTTTCTTCGTAACTATAATTAAAAATAAAATGAAAAAAAAAACCGATTACGTTATATATTTTATAGAAAACGGAGTAAAGAATTTCTATGACATACATACTTCAAAATATTATGAATAAATTAAAAATCTCAATACTATTATTTATCTTCTCATATTGTTAATTGTCATCCGTCATTCTTGATAATATGTTAAATAAATAAATGAAGAAAAAGTTTGCATCATCAACTTATAAAATTTCAAAGAATCTAGGTCATAATTATTCTGTACTTAGTTTATTTTTTAATCATATTAGACAGAAAGTATGTTTTTGGTTATTTTTACTTCCCTTCTATTATTAGTCATTTAACAATCATTTATTAAAATATAGAATAGAAAATATTTAACTAATGAAATTCGATATGTACAAAGAAAAAAATAAAGTTAATATAAATAATTGTTTTTTTTGGAATAATTTTATTTCAATCGATTTAAATGAACAGAAAGAGAATTATGAAAAAATAAGAGATTCAATTATAATCATTATTTATATTTGTTTTTAATTCTATTCGAACTAAATCCTCTATTATTTTGTTTTGATTGTTATTTCATCATCAAAAAAAAAAAACATGATGCAAGTGAGAATCATTTTACAAAAACTATTACTCATATAATATTATGGTAAATATTAGTTTTCTTATTGGCTTACAATATGACTAAATAATCATGATAAAAAACTAAAAATTCAGAGAAATCAGGCGATTTGCTAACGAGGAAATACCCCAATTGCAATCCACCGTTTGAACTCATATTTGGATCTACAAGGAAGTTTCAGTAAAACTGAAAAAATTCTAAAAAAGGTTTATGCTCACATGAGTCTCTGAAACCGAGTTATGACTGCTTTACTGAATTTCTGACACATTTTTAAGTATTTACTGGAGAATTAAATAGTGGAATTTCGACCTGAAATTCAATCCATCGATAAGTGTAATGACTCTGAGAATATCCTGAAAGTTTCAGCCGAAAAAAAGATTCAACAAATGATCATTTGCTACAGACATGTCACAAAAATCGAGTTCACTTGAAAATTCAATATCTCAACAAAGGTACATTCATTTTGGGTTGAAACTTTCAGGACATTCTACACGGATCATTAGAATAGAGACTAACAATTCCAAGAAATATTCGGAACTAATGATTTGGTTCCTAAAAAAAGTATCTTTGGAACTGATGTATACCAGAAAAACTGATATAATAATTTTTAAGTTATATTTCATTTTTGCGTAATTTTTAATGTCTATTATTTTTGGAAAAAGTAATTTCTTTGAAAGCTAAAACAACAAAGAAAAAGAATGAGAAAATTATGACTGGTTATCAGTTGTAAAATTTTTATTTTTGTTAATAAAGAATCACATTGAGTTAAAACATTGAGAATGCCTAGTTATACATAGCAAGAAAATTCCAGTGTTACGCATTTCATTCTTAGTGGGAACTAGAGCAATTTTTCGTATATTTATAATACTTATTTTTTGTGTCTATCGCATCTCCAATGATCATCAGCAGACTTGATTGAAAGAGTTTATTCTCTTTTTTTCTTTCGCTAGTCTTGATACATACATGAAGTAAAGAAATTCTCAATAAAATTGAAAAATTCTATGAAAAAAAAGGCAAACTTTGATAAAATTTTGTTCGAAGAAAAATATTTCTTTTCTTTGCTGATGGGTATATTTTTGAAAAAATGTCAGAGTATCTAACCATATCGTTTTCTCAAAAAGTGATCTTTTGACGACGCTTGATTTTTTCTTTGGAGGGATCTTAATCACATTTTCAGCTATTTTTGATTTCTCTTTCCGTCTAATTGTGAGAAATACACATAGTTTACCGTTAGTGTAATCGTAGATTGATCTCTCTAACTTTAGACTATGCAACATTTGAACAACTTCTCAGTTATCAGTAAAAATGTCTCGTTTCCAATAGTTCTGGCCTCGTTCGGTTATTTTTGGCGTTGTCAGACTCTACATTCTCTAGTCAACTTTTCCTAGAAGAATCTCCAGGGTGTCCCTTGAAAGACTCCTTAGGGAATCCAAAGGAACTCATTGAGAATTTGCTAAAAATTCCTCAGAAATCTACGATGAGAAATACAACCATTGTAAACGGTCGTATATAATGTCTTTATCATCGTGTCCTATTCGTTAGTGAGAGAATGGTAACCTTCTCTTCTATTCTTCTTTTCGTAAATATAAAAATCCAATTTGATCTTTTTCAAATAGTACTCGCCTTTGTTGTCATTCTTGAGATTAACCTAGATAAAAAATATATAATTAAATACTTAGTTTTCCAATGATTGTTGCATTTAATCTAAATAAAAAAATATATTTCATTTTTTGAAACAGTACTTACTGTTGCAATTATTGTTGCTTTTAGTCTGAATAGAAAAAAAATATAGAATTAGTTTTTGTGAAATAATATGTACTGTTACAGTTGTTTTTGAGATTAATCTAAATAAAAAAAAAAGTAAATCCTTTTCTATCACAACACTTACCATCAAATCGTTGTTGAAATCAGTCTAAATAGAAAATATAGATATGATTTTCTTAAATTGATATTTACCATTGTTATTGTTCTTACAATTAATCTAGGTATAAGCTACTTACGAGGAAAGTTCTCCAAGTGATCAATCGCTTTTTCATAGAAGCATACATGACTGTATGTAGTTCAATGCACGAATTTTGAATATTAGGGTCTTAGTTGCCCTTAGGCCTTTCTAGATTCTGTATCATTACTCTGAATGTTCTTCTCATAAGGATGTTTCTCATCAAATTCAATCTTTTAATCAGTCTATCACGTATCACTAGACAAAATATCGATAGGAATGCTTAATTTATAGGCACTGGAAC